CCCTCGCCATAGAACTCTGGAGCCTGTCCATAGCATGGCACTACAGCAGCTACAGTCACCGGAATGGGAAGTGGTTTAACCTGCTTCCAGATCCAGAGGCCTGTTCGAGCATCCAGGACTCTGTCAGGGAACAAAATCTGAGAAAGCAGGTTGCTTTACATTAGGAGCAATTAATGCATACCTGACTGTCATGCACATATGGGACCTACCCATAATCAAATGGGTGTATACAAGTGCAAAGAATTACTAGTAGCTACATTCTTCAGCAGCTCAAATAAGTGAAAGGCCTTGGCTGCAAAGGCCTAGCACTTTAGATACCTATCTAGAAAATAAAAAATCTTGGTTCAGATATGCCCCCTGCCAGCTCCTCTCTACAAGAGGGTAATTAATATTGCTACAGTACCTGCCTCACAGGTGGGCTGTGAGGGTTAATTAGGAAGGATTGCACCTTTCTCTAAGATAAAGCTAATTATTTCTACTCATCTCCCTCTTCAGTTTTGTGAAGCACAGTGCACTGTACAGGGGAGAAAAACCATCTGCCCTTTATGATATACCTTCTGCTTTCCATAAAACCCAGAGGGGGGGAAAGAAATCCAAAGGCTGGTTTCCACACGTGCTTGCACCAAACAACTAAAGCAGTTTTAAACTGGCCCCTTTTGTTAGTGATCTGCAAGACAGTTTGTGGGCGGCCCCAGGCAGAGAAGGAGCGGAAGGGAAGGGACAGGGGAACGCCAGGAACAAACATTTTCTATACAGAGAAAATAATCCAGAATGAAAGGGAGGTCAGATCTACAATAAAATCTGGCTACTTTGTGCCACTCCATACCACCGCTGCAAAGGTTAAGGACTGCTGTTGACTGGAGACAGCATTACTGTTCATTTATATACTACCAAGTAGTTAAATGGGTGTGAAAGTCTATGCTCCGATTCTACTAATACACAAATTGTCAAATAAAGTTTGAAGAGCTGTTTTCTTCCGTAGTTCACAACCCAGTATCAGGCATAACTGCACCCAGGTGCTGTATAGCCAAATAATTGTTGATTAGAGAATTTACATGCTGTCTTTGCAACATCTTACAAGCCAGCAGAGCCTCCCAATGCTTGAGACAGAAGCTCTTTTTCCCTTGTTTAAAGAGAGGAATATTCCTAGCAACTTACATTTTAGCCGCAGCGTCACTGAAATCTTGAGACTACCTGTGTAAGCAGTATGAAGTCAGGAAGCACCCGAGTCAAGAGTTAACACACTAAGGCCTTGCCTACTAGCTGACAAGGACTTTGCTGGCAGCAAGCTCAGTTCTGTGCGCCCACAGAAATAATCTTCTCCAACTCTTTCCACCCATCTGAAGCATCCTCCTGTTGTACCTTGTGCTCTAGGAACCACTGTGATCTAGGAACCACTGCAGGTCAAAACAGCCACAAAAAGTAATACATTAGAAACCTCATCTGAAATGTTCTCATTAAGTAGATGGGCCTAGCAGTAGCAGATGTGGTGTTTAGAACAGTGGTGTCTGCCAGATGTTTGCCTGACAGCTCCCAGTGTTGCTCACACATGTATGGCAACAAGCATAAACAATAGCATCTTTAAAATGGTGGTTCCCAGTCTGCCTATGCTAGGGCCTTCTAGCATAGGCCTGAGAGCACTAAAGTAAGCCATTTTCCTGGGGTCAACAGGTAAGTCACTCAAGAAGGGTCTGCCATGCCAAGAAATCCCACCCAGCACCACACAGCATTTTCAAGGCCAGATGAGAAAGAGGTAGAGTTTCTGCACTGAAAAATATAGCAGAAATAGGAGTCCAGGTAAAAACATAAGAAAAACATGCAGAAGGTTTCACAAAATGCCAACACACTTATCAAGGCTGGGGTACACAGGAAGACAGAAGGGGCAAACGCACACACACAAACAAACAACAATGTAACAAGATATTGTTTAAGAAATGGCATGTGATCTCCTAAAGGGAGTCTACAATGTGGCAGAGATGCAGATAGCAAGAGAGATAAGATTGCAGACTTTCAACTTGAAGGTCTTGTTCCACTTTAGTGAGGCTCCTTTAAGCACACCTGCCTGCTAAGGGGCATGTGCTAAAGGAGCTGGGAATCACTTGACACCCAAATCCACCCAAGCTTTGCAAAACTACGGGGTTTTCTCATTCCGGATTTAGGAATTTTCCTCTTGGGTTTTCATTTAAAAAACAAACAAACAAACAAACAAACAACACCAAACAGAAACAGGCCCTGATCCCTGCATTGCTCTGTGTAGGCAGACTGCATGGAGAAACCTGGCTGATACGAGCCACTCACTGCTCGTTAAACTAGAGGATCTGAATCTTAACACAGGTTCCAATGCAGTTTTGACCCAATGCTCTCTTTAATACATACCCTTTGACAGAGCACAGCATATCATGCACCTCATACAAAACGTTAATATAAATATTGGCTCATTTTAAAAGATACAGAGGATGTGTTATAAACCCACACTTTGCTTTCATTTTCCCATCTCAAGTTACCAGGGCAAGCAGACTACATCACAGACATCCAAATCCCTGCTCTACCAGTAAATTTAGCAGTGACTTCAGTTGATAGGTATCTAACAGTAAGGTTTTTAGTCTGCATTTTACCTCATTTTTGATCCTTTTACAGGGGCACAAGACATACATCAGGCCTTATCTCCCACTGCTTGGTACAGTCTTTTAGACTCATGAAGTCAGTGTAAAAGGAGCTTGCTTGAGCATAGCAGGGTGTTAGACAGGTGGAAGAGACAGATCATGGTGCGAGGGAGTGCCGATCAGACTCCAGGATCTCATGTGGGGTGATGTGGGATAGTGTCCCCAGGGGCTCAGCTCAAACTACCAGTTCTTCCTTTTATATAGACACCAAATTCCATAGGTTTCTCTCTGCTAGGTTGTCATTACAAACAAGAAACAAAACAAGAAAGCTTGAATCATCTGCAAACTACAATCTATTCCTATCGACAGTAATGCCTGCTTTAATCCTGAACTTCCCTGTTTCTTTGAACTATTCCCTCTGAATGTATTGTCAACATCTGTAACACATCCATTTCACTGCATCAAACTGCACTCGGTGAAAAAGCCATTTGAATGTTTAACATTTGCTAGTAAAACCTCAGAGGCACAACTTGATTATATTTGGATATTCTTTCTTTAAGCCTGTTTTCATTCCGACTACCTTAGCAAGGATCTGAATGTCCCCCACTGCATTGCTTGTAGGAATTATGGTTAGTATTCAAGCAAAAGAAGATATTTATTGCACAATAATCAAATAGTTCATAGCTCTCAATATTACACCACCGTACCTAGTTCTACCTCCCCTCTCCTGGAAAGACCATTACAGGCTTGGGCCTCAAATTGTCCATTCTGACTAGAAAACAAAAATCCCATCTCATCTGCTACTGTTGACCAAAAAAATGCAGTATCTGAGGAGAACACTTTTGAACGTTAATAGAAGACATGGTACGAACAAAGAAATAGCACAGAAAAATAACTTTCATATCTGCTTTGTGAGAAGTAGGAAAGCATAAATAGGCTCACATTAGGGTAGGGAACTGTACATTAAAAAGGGAATGTGCACATCAGCTCAACATAAACAAATGTGATATATGATACAGATATGGGACAAATATGGTAGAACGTGGTGTTCAAACTGTTGCTTTCATGTCTGCATGACCATGTTTTCCCTTGCGCTATAAAGAGATTACCTGACAAATTTTAATTTGATCAAAATCAACAGCAAACAAATGCAAAAATTACAAGTGATTTGAGAGTCAAGCCTTCCACCATGCTGGGAGTGATCACAGGCAGGGCTGAAGAGGCACTTTTCCCTATAAGCACCTGTTTCCAGTAACCCATACTTTTAAAAGGAAATAAGATTTGGATGGACATTTCTCATACTTATTTCTAAAAATGTACGGTTGTTTAAGTTTTTTTACAGTTCTTTTCCTGAGTTCTGAATGATCCCAACATTAAAAAGATGCTCCTCGTGCTTTAAAAGTAACCCTTTGTGTGATTTTATTTATACCCAAGACAATCCAATCACAGGTCAGTTTTCAGACCTGAGGATCCAGGAAAAAATGGGTCTGTAAAAGAACCAAGCTACTGGAAAAAAAGATCACGTCCTGTAATTTTGCACCATGTGATGATCTACTCCCCCACCCCCACCTCCCCACACACACTATTTAAATCATGACACTAAGGTGGGGCTCGCTCTCCAGACACGGGCACAATCATGTCTGCATGTATCTGGAGTTCCACATTCGGAGCTTCTGGTAGAGAAATTAACTGGCCAGCACCAGGCCTGACTTGGATCATTTTATCTTGCACCACCCAGGACCCTCTGAATTCTGGCCTGCTGTCTATCCTTCTTAATCCTTGAATTGCTTTCTGCAGATTTGATTGTATGGTCTTACTGAGTGTTACATTCAAATTCTGAGGCTTTATACACAATAGCTGGCTCCAACAGTGCTGTTTGAACTGGGGATCATGTGTTCAAATGTACATCTCCCCCTCTGCTCCCCCAACCTAAATTTAAGTTCTTGAGAAAAGCCTAGCATTTTATAATAGATACAAACAGGCAAAGTAGGCAATCACACACTGAAGTCCTCAGGAAACACTGCCCATGGGCCTTGATTCTTTATTGTTCCAGTTAGAGGCCTCTATTTTGGCACACTCGAGGGTTGCTCAGTAGCATGTTCGTTCCTTGCATGTAGACAAATATCCACAAGGAACTACAGTGTGTGACCAAATCCATGACCTCAGCCACATTTGAATCCCCTCTCTAGAGGTACTGTTTGCCTCACTGTAGGAATTTACCCTTCCCAGTCTATAATAAATACAGCTAACAAAAAATAAATGCCTTTTTAAATACATAACAATCACATGAGAGTGTAACAAGAGTCAGACTGGAACAAAAAAATTGAGAAACATCAAGCAGGCAGAGTGGGAACCGCAAGCAGGGATGCGTGCTTGTTTTAATAATGCTACCAATCTGTAAGAAGAAATATTAATTACATCACGTTTGATAGCTTACAAATCCTCTCCTAAAAATTCACGAAAGCAGCTTACAATCCAAACAAATGACTTCACTGCAGTAGACAACGAGAAGCCCAAAAAGAAAGAGAAATGATGGACCAACGGTTCCCTTAGTAATAAAGATTTCTAGCACACAAAGGGCAGAAATGGGGCTTGGGACAAAGCAATGAACAATACAGCTGGAAAGCATCAAGTTCTGCTCAGGTTAGTTGCCTGGGTTAATCTTCCGAGAACATATTTATCCTTCTGCACAAAATAGTTTATCTGCATATGGAAAAAAACTGTGTCTCTATAACATGCCTAAACCTCGTCCTGGGAAAGCATCTAGGGAGGTTTTTACACACCAGTGTGAGATATGGCACTTAATAAAAAGCAATGCTGCAATTCCTACACCCAGAGGTATCAGCTTGGTTTTAAGTACATGAAGGGGGAAGAATTTAGTCCCTCTGCTCCTCCACGTTGCCCTGCAGTGGTAGCTGCAAGCAGCAGTACATGTCATGAGGGCCACGACTGCTTTTTAAATTCACTAACCACCACCGGGCCATTTTCCACCTTCCATTTCCCCAGTGTAAATCTGGAGCAGTGCCATAACCTGTGTGCCGAGACCAACTTTTCTCTGATTTGGAGAATAAATCCCATGTAAGTCGAGATCCCTTATGCCTCTTCCAGAGGGACCGGCAACAACCCCCACACTTGTGAAGGAGATATGTTGCGGGGCGAGACACCCCTGCATGTTGGAGGAGGTGGCAGTGCCCATCTGGGCATATTTGCTTCTCTGGGAAAGGACCTTACAGGGCGAGCGAAGGAGGTTCCCACATCAGGAGGCACTGCATCTTTAGAAGCGCCCGCCGCACGTACGCAGCGCACCCTGGGCACTGCCCCAGCAGCCCGGCAGAGCCTGCGCACGGCCAATGCCCTCGCGGCGCAGGTAGGGGCTGCTGCAGAAACGGCCGAAAAAACCACCAGGCAGGCGCCGAGGACGGGGGTCAGACCGCGTCAGACCCAGCTCACCCCAAGCACTTAAAAAAAATAAAATAAAATAGGCAGGCAAGTTCAAGTTCAATATTTGCTACATTCCTTCCCTCAGCAGCAGCCAGGCGGCTCCTCTGGGTCCCAGCTGTGGAAAAACAAAAAAGCAAAGGGGTGCGCGGGGGAGGGGGGAGCATTTGCTGCCTGGAAGTGACGGGGGAGGGGGTCGTGGAGGGCGGGGAGCCGGGCAGGGCGGCGGGCGGCGGCCCCGGGAGCGGGGCAGGGCCCGCAGCGCCGAGGCGGTGTACGCGTGGCAGTGTTTATAGCAGATCAAAACAGAGCCGGGGAAGATGGCGCCGCGAGGCGGGGGGAGCCCGCACGGGGCGGCCCAGGGGTCCCCGGCCCCGCGCCCCTTACCTGTTGCTCTGGGATTTCCGGGCCATGGGGCCAGCCTTGCTCTTCTTGCGGGAATAGTCGCTGTCGAAGGGCAGCACCGAAGCGTAGCCGTGCTCTGCTTCTGGGGACAAAGTCGGCGTTAGCGGCGCCCGCGCATCTCTCCGGGCAGGGGCAGGGGCAGGGGCAGCACCCTCCCTCCGAAAGAACC